ATATATATATATTCTACTATTATTTATATTCATCAATATCATTGAAATTATAGAATGAGTGTTATATTTTGTATCATATTTTGTATCTATTATATAATTTACAAAATAAACTACATATTTAGCTAAATAATTAATGACTATCATACGAAACAAATATTAATTTAAAAACAAATTCCTACGATTTGTATAATTTTCTACTGTAAAATTTAAAAAAATTTTATAAAGTTGGAGATGTATAGGGTGCATCATAATCATAACATGTGGGATCTACTTCAGAAATGAACAAGGGATATAATGAAAAATGTTCATGTGAATGTGTTGACTTTATTTCAAAGTTACAGCCGTTTTTATGTTTCAATAATTTGCAACTCTTTATTTTCATAGAAGATACTTAAAATCTTTTCCCTTGATCAGTGTGTAAACTTGTAGTAATCATATTAAAGAGTTTCACAATCTTTTAAAAATTCTAAATATATGTCTTTATATATTTACTAAATTTATATTAGATTATATTTTTCTAGTTAAATAAATTCATCTTTTAGATAACAATTTTCTGATAAATATTGAGAAAAAAATAATAATTATTATGAAAATTAAAATTATTTTTTAAAAAATACTTAAAACTTTCATTAAAATCAATATACTTCCATTAAGATCAAGAATTTTTTATCCATGTGAAACAATAGATTAGGCGAGAGATTTCCTTCTAACATTTTAACACGTGTCTGAGATTTTAATTATTTCTTTTAAAATTCTTTGCACGCGACGCTTAGTTTGCAATAAAATAAAAATCACGTTATAATGTATGAAAGATTGCAACATTTTAATTCTCGATAATGTTTACCTCTCAAATTTTCAAAAATCTTAATATCGTCATACAAATTAGAAAAATTCCTCATGAATTTAAAAAATTCACTTTTTAAGAATTTTCACAAAATCTCCTGCTTGAAAAATTGTGAAATTGAAACAATATCTTACCTATTGATGATAATAATATAACGTTTTCAAAGAAGAGATTTCTCTTGTACATACTTCATAATTCGTAACCACATATTTAAACACGAGTAAAACATAATAACATTTTTTTTTTATGAATAAAAATGAAACGTATCGACAATTAAAAAGAATTATAATCTTTTTGTCATATTTGGTATAATGTAGGAACTTTACCTTATCGGTCGCAGGTATGTATATCGGTAAGTGACAAAATAACAAGCACAAAACATAAACACCAAATAAAACTTCAACCTAACAATTCAAGCGCTAAGAATTATAATAACTTATTCTATAATACTCACCCTGTTGTGTTTGCCATTAATTCTCTTAAAATTATTCGAATAATCGTTGGAATTTATGCGAACTGCACGATGAATCTACAGAATCAAGTGTAAGGTAAAGTAACGCAGCAAAAATATTCTTTGTACATAAATATGTTTGCAAGACTCACCTGTGGATTTGTACTATATTTGTGAATATACTTTAATAGTCTCTGTTTGCAGTAGCTGGAACGACTGCTGGAACACTTGACGAATTTCTGTTTTCCTTTCTTTCGATCCTTTCTCTCAGTTTCTGGGAATATAACATTGTCAAACTTGTTAAACAAATACTTACATAGTACTATTATTCATCATCAGTAAGTAGTTTCAATCGATTTCTAACCGACTACGTTTAACCGAAATAGGAAAATTGATTTAATGGTTCAATGACAATATTATGTTTGAATTTCTAATCGTAAACGAACACCGATAGGTCATAGACGATTATATATAGGGTGTCCCAAATTTAAATGTGAAAATTTTGGAAAAAACCGATGAACTAAAAAAATAGTTTAGAGATTTGCTTGTTTTTAGTCCATTTTCTTAGAATACAATTAGTATCTTAGTATACAATCGGAATTTGAAACAAATATTTGAAAGAACAATTACGTATCCATTGTTGTAGTATGAAGTTAATAACATAGTAAAACAAATTTTTTAATTAATAAAATAATTTGATCTTATTATCTTCCACTTTATAATGTGTTTTAATATACTTTAACATTAGAACTACCAACAATTAGAATATAAAATTTACAAATTTTCAGAAAAATTTAAATGCAAGGAATAGAGAAAATTTTTTGATATGATAAAGAATAAAAGCTTTTATTAATATATTTCACGAAAAATTATTCGAGTCTCTAAGAATACAGTTTCGTGAATCTACAAAATTTCTACGAAGAATTATGAATTGCTCATTTTGAGCATATCGCTAGTTCTAGTATTAAATTCGAATTGGACACCTCTGGTAACACGCATGTGCAATAGACAACTGTCAGATTCGAAGAAATCACGTAAAAACAACCAAACATAACCTTCAATTAATATACAAAAGTGTACAGGCTATTAACGCGCTGTTAACGTTGCCAGCTTTTATATTTTTATTAGCATACGTATAAAATATATCACGATAAACAACAATTCATTACAAGATTTATTCTGAATTGAAATGGAGGAAATGGATATAGAAAATGAAAAGAACGAAGATAAGAGTTTGTGCGAGGATTTAGAGGATAACGAAGAGGTCAAGTCAAAAGTAATTGAAAATGAGATCGAAGAAAACATGGACGATGAACTTGATGATGATGAGGATGAAAAAGATGATGAAGAGGATGCGGACGAGGCAGAGGTTAAAGTTTTAGAAACTTCTCTTGCTCAAAATCCATATGATTATACAAATCACGTAGCCCTTATCAATAAATTTCAAAAAATGGGCGAATTAGAACGATTACGTGCTGCTAGAGAAAACATGAACTCCAAATATCCTTTGAGCTCTGAACTCTGGCTGTCTTGGATGCGCGATGAAATTAAACTAGCTGTAACTCCAGAGCAAAAATCTGAGATAGTGAAACTATGCGAACGAGCTGTCAAAGATTATCTTTGTAAGTTAGTTGCTTTCAATGTAGTAAATGTATTATAAATTGTTGTATAATAAAATGTTTGCTATAGGTGTAGAAGTATGGTTAGAATATCTGCAATTTAGTATTGGTAATATGGGTACTGAAAAAGACGCAGCAAAGAATGTTCGACAATTATTTGAACGAGCATTAACAGATGTTGGACTACACACTATTAAGGGTGCAATAATATGGGAAGCATTTCGAGAGTTTGAAGCTGTATTATATGCATTGGTAAGTACAGACTGATGGAAAGAGAATGAAAATTCTTTCAAAACATATTTTTATACTTAGATCTCACACATTTAGATTGATCCTTCGAACCAAGCTGAAAGAAAAGAACAATTGGAACGTATTGGTAACTTATTCAAAAGACAATTGGCTTGTCCTCTTTTAGATATGGAAAAAACATACGAGGAATATGAAACATGGCGTCATGGAGATGGCGCAGAAGCTGTTATTGATGATAAAATTATTACTATAGGATATGAACGTGCATTATCAATGCTTAATCTCCGTTTACCTTATGAAGAGAGAATTGTCTCTGCACAAACCGAAGAAGAACTTTTAGATTCATATAAAATGTATTTGTTATATGAGCAACGTAATGGAGATCCTGGACGAATAACGGTTTTGTATGAAAGAGCAATCACTGATCTTAGTTTAGAAATATCAATTTGGCTTGATTACATTAAGTATTTGGAAGAAAATATCAAAATTGAATCTGTCTTGGATCAAGTATATCAAAGATCTTCAAGAAATATTCCATGGTGTGCAAATATGTGGCAAAAATGGATCAGATCATATGAAAAATGGAGTAAACCAGTATTAGAAATTCAGATGTTGTTAGAAAATGCTTTAACGACTGGATTCTCTACTGCAGAAGATTATAGAAATTTATGGATAACGTATTTGGAATATTTACGACGAAGAATCGATCGATTCTCTTCTAATGAAGAAAAGCAGTTAGAAACATTACGCAATACTTTTAATAGAGCCTGTGAACATTTAGCAAAATCATTTGGCTTAGAAGGAGATCCCAATTGCATTTTATTACAATATTGGGCAAGAACTGAAGCTATACATGCTAATAACATGGAAAAGGCTAGATCATTATGGGCCGATATTTTATCACAAGGACATTCTACAACAGCATCTTATTGGTTGGAATATATTTCTTTAGAAAGGTAATTTTTTATATTTATTTCAAATAAATATAACAGTTTATAATATGTAAAATTTTATTTTGAATTAAAATTAAATTTCTTTTTGTACAGATGTTATGGAGATACAAAACATTTAAGAAAATTATTTCAAAAAGCTTTGATCTCAGTGAAAGATTGGCCAGAAAGTATAGCAAATTCTTGGATAGATTTTGAACGAGACGAAGGAACACTAGAACAAATGGAAATATGTGAAACACGAACAAAAGAAAAATTAGAAAAAGTTGCAGAAGAAAGACAAAAAACACAACAAATTTCTAATCTTGAATTATCGCCATTACAAAACAAGAAAGTTTATAAAAGAAAACAAGAAGAAACTGGTAAGTGGAAAAATTTAAGTAGTTTTCCAATAAAAATTACAAAAGTTGAAACACAAGTAAAACCAAAAATGAAAGAAAATCATATAAACTTGGAAAAGAAACTCGACGTTGATGTAGAACAAAAATCAAAAATTATTCCACCACCTGGTTTCAAAGCACCAGAAAATGAAAAAATGGAAATAGATAATACTCAAGAAGTGGATGATAAAATCACAGTTTTCATAAGTAATTTAGATTACACTGCAACTGAAGAAGAAGTCAGAAATGCTTTAAAACCAGCAGGGCCAGTTACAATGTTTAAAATGATACGAGATTATAAAGGACGTAGTAAAGGATTTTGTTACGTGCAACTTAGTTCCACGGTACGAATTTTTTTTAAATTAAAAATTGAATGTTTAATCAAATATTTAATTAAATAATTTAATAAAATATTTTTATAGGAAGCAGTTGATAAAGCTTTACAATTAGATAGAGTTTCTATAAGAGGACGGCCAATGTTTGTTTCAAAATGCGATCCAAATAAAACGACACGAGGATCTGGTTTCAAATATAGTTGTTCTCTGGAGAAAAACAAACTTTTTGTTAAAGGTATGTAATATTTAACCTTCAGTTGGAATTATTGAATGAACATAATTTTTGATGAATCAGAATAATTTCAAACCTTTATTTCTTTATTTCTAGTTAATCAGATTGCTAACAGATTGTTCATTTTTCAAAATTTTATTAATAAAACAAATATTTTTACATTTTTATTGAAATATTAATATTTTGAATCTTCAACGTAAATATATTTTAATTGCATTTGGATTATATTTAACATAATAATCGTGTTTATGTCTTGAAGAATAAATAATGTTTAAAGTGTCTAAATATTTAATATCAATAAAATCAGCGAAGATTAAACAATTTATCTAATTTGGATAATACTAAGAGATTGACTAAATAAAAATAATGGAAATTTCAATGTTTAAAATATATAAAATGATACAAAACAAAAATTGAAACTGATGAAGAAATTTAAAAGAGAAAATAAAAAATATTACACTATAAAGTGGTTTCATAAGTTCTAGAATCTGAAAGGTATATATTAAAGCAAGTCCTTTCGAGTTAAAGGCAGCTGAATTGAATCAAAAAAATAAATATATCTTTTAAATTAATATAAAATACAGAGAGACTCTAATATTCACATGCAGATAAAATAGAAATAGGATCGTTTTTTCATCTGCTTTATCTAAATAATATTCTTAAATTCATCTTTTATGATATTTTGGACTATTTCGTTGAAAAGATTATTATTAGTAACTGTATTATGATTTTATATAACAATATTAAAAATAAATTAAGGTATTCTATAAATTCATTGAAAATTGTAAAAATTCTCTTCATAGTTATAACAGTAAATGAAATAATAATTTCAAAATGCACTATTTCTTTTTTATGTACATCCCATATGATTGATATAATAAGATACCTTTTATAGCAAAATTCAATATCTTTACAAAATGCAGAGTGGTTTCATTTGATCCTGGAATGTCTGTTATATATATCATTATACCAACTAAGGGTTAAATTAATATTTAAAATTATAATTCTAAAACTATATTTATCTTTATAAATTAGGACTTCCGGTATCAACAACAAAAGAAGATCTTGAAGAAATTTGCAAGGTTTACGGAGTGTTGAAAGAAGTCCGTATAGTTACTTACCGTAATGGCCATTCTAAAGGATTGGCTTACGTTGAATTTGAGGATGAAAATAGTGCTGCAAAAGCACTTCTAGCTATTGATGGAATGAAAATCGGTGACAAAGTAATTAGTGTAGCCATAAGTCAACCGCCTGAACGTAAGAAGGTTCCCGTCAAATCTCTAGGTGGTACTACAGTAAGCAGAACTACATTTGGTATGCCCAAAACATTATTATCTATGGTACCTCGTACTGTCAAAACTGCTGCTACCAACGGCAGTGCGACTGTGACTGGGAATGGTGTTGCACCAAAGATGAGTAACCAAGATTTTAGAAATATGTTATTGAATAAAAAATAATTTACTACAGCATCACTGATTTCTTAAATCCTTGTCTGTTTAAAGAGCTCATTAAGTTTTAAAATACGTATGTATATTTCACAAGAGTGTCGTGTCTAGAACACACGACATAATAAAAGAGATATCTTGTGAATTATTTTTTCTTAACGTATTTTTAAGACTTTATTTTTAAGAAGAAGAAGAAGAAGAAAATGAAAGGGAAACTAAGAACCACAAATTCTTAAAAAATAAATATGTTTAATGTAAGAAAGTTTATATATACAAAATGAAGATGCGTGTGCAAGTGAACGCATATTACTCTGAACGCAAACGAGAACTTTCTCACCATACGTACATCACAGTGTCATGAAGATACTTTTCTCGTACAAATATGTATGACAGAGAAATCGTCCAATTATTACAAGTGAAGAAATGAATAGAGGAAGTTGCATCGTAAATAATAAATCAGGGTGACCATTTCTCTCGAATATTAAACAATAATTCTTCTTCCTTCTTCAAAATATGTTGAAAGAATGCTGTAAAACGTTATCAAAACAGCTGTTTGCAAAACTATTATTACACAGTCACGCAATATTCTTTTGTGGTCACCTACACGTCAAGTACAAATATCCTTCTACAATTGCAGTGGTGCATTAAACGTGTTGTGTTTTTTATGCCTCGGTGGAGCGACAGGTGGATTTTCAGGTGTCAACAACCGTCTTTCCATAAGCCATTTTTTGGCTCGGCCAGAATGATAGTAATAGGAGTAAAGCAACGCCATAGCCGCCAGCACAACTAGCAGGCACGTACCAGCGATAATGATACTGAATAACCAATATGGTCCACTTGATTCTGGCACCAATGTTGGTTCTGTTGGCGATTTTTCTCCTGGAGTCGATTTCGTTGGTGGTTTTGCGGGTGGTTCAGGTAGAAGAGGCTCTACGTCATCTCCGATGGTAATATCGGCGCAAGAACGAAATTCTTCTTGAGGACCACAACCCACAGCACCTGTACAGACATGATGTTCGTATATTTTGTTAATTTAAACTTTTAGTTGATTTACATAATATATTGAATTATTTTTCTATAATTTATGTATTTATCATTTTTATATCTTCATTTTGCACTGAAATTATATCTTGCAAAGATATATAGTATTCGTAATTCGCTGTAATGATATATTATATTTCAACGATATATTATGTTTGATATATCAATGATATATTATGTTTCAGTTATTTCTCTGATTTATTTTCGGCACATTGAAATTTGATTGCAAATAATGTTGTAGATGAAACTGACAAACAATATATGTTTTATGAATATGACTGGAATATATGTTTAAGAAACATAATGTTATGTTTGTGTTTAAGAAATACAAGATCGGAATATTATAAATAATTTTAAGATAGTATTTGTAACATGAGGTTTGAAAATAAAAGGTGGTTGCTTAAAACCTCAATGAATACTAATAGCTGTAATGCAACTATGTATGTAATGTGAACATTGTGTAATGTTTATTACGTATTATAAATTGAAACTTTCCATCGATACTTCAATAGCATACTAATATTATCGTGTAATAAAAATTATCTGTTGACAAAATATATATACTTTTAACTAAGAAATATTTATAACTATTCTTGAAAGAATAAAATACAAAATCTTTCTTTTACAGAAAATTAAAAGAATATTATTTACAATTTATAACAGTTCGTTTTAGTAGATAGAATATTCTATCTTCTCTAGGAGTTAGGTCACTTAGGAACTCCAAAAATAGATAAAATTTCACGAATTAATTACTAAGCGAAAATGTTTTTGAGGAATATAAATGCGACCTTACATCTTTAAATTGTACAAATACTAATTATTAGAAAATGGCAGAATAGTTTTAAAATCTCATTCTCTAGAACATTGATTGCTGGCCGCCATTGCTGCAAATGACTGATACATCTAAAGAAATTCCTATTAATTTAGAGATATAAATATACTATTTAAAACGAGGATCTTGAAAAATATGAAATGACAACAATTTGAAATAAAAAAAAGCCAGTTCTTACCAAAACTTTAGATACTTGTAAATAATTAAATAATTGCGGTATTGGAAAAGTCATATGGAGTTACATTTTGGATAATTTCAGACATAAATCTTATTTCGGATATTCCAGTCTTTTGCAATGATAGTGACCAAGAATTGAAATATAAAGCTGAAAATCACATTTATATACCTTAAAAAAGTTACAACTTTTCACTTAATTATTATGTATGAAAAAAATTTGTAAATTTTATTTATTTTTCGATAGCTCTGAATGATCTACTTCTTCAAAGTCATTAGAAACAGATAGTGTTCGTAGTTATGTTTGTCTTGATATCAATTATAATGCTACAAAGTCAAAAAAATTATCATTTAAAAAATCAAGGTAACTCTCATCTTTATATTCAACAAAATATTTTTTCTTAGTTTCCAAAGTGTGTAATTCATTGCTAACTAAGTATTGATTAACTTTTATTTGGAACATTTTTTCAGTAGTTTATCAGAGATTCTTAAAAGATAACTATTTCGTGTTATATCCTATATATTAACGATTTAATCGTCTTCATCTCTTTAAATAAACTTTTATCTATATTTCCTAGAATTCAATTTCTATGTTATTTCTATGTCTCTTTAATGTTAATAAAAAAAAAAAAAACTCTTTGAGTGTTTAGTATAGATGATTTTATAATCAATGATAAAGTAATTGATTTACTTATTAAACATTCAAAAAGAATAACGTGTTCTAATACATTGAATAAATATATCAAAAGATGAATGCATTCTTAATTTGTTACATACCTTTCATTCAGTATTTTCAACTTTTAGACTTTTGGTAATTTTTTTTTAGCATTAAAAGGGTCAACGTTCATCCTGAAATTTCGTGCCATTGAACACTTTTGTCCAAAGACAGCAGCAATGAAACTCACGCTCACGTTTGAATTTCGAGGGCGCGAGAAGCTTCGCGAGCTGAATATTGCTGCGACGAGAAAATGGTGAAAACAGTGTACAATACCTGTTCCATTTCCACAGTCGCCCCAATTATTTCCAGCCACGTATCTCCATTGAAAGACGCATTGAGCGCAAGTCAGATCGTCTGGCAATTTGTAGAAAGCTTCGAAAATCTTATTCCCCGGCCCGGGATAATATCTAATCGATCCGTTCTTCGAGCGTAGCAGGTGCTGGTCCAGACATTCCTGATCGACCTCTTTGCCCTTGTGGGTCATCGCACACGTACGAAACTCAAAGTAACCATGATGATTCGCCGTAAGTTCCACACGGACCGGTATCATCGAACCTGTTCGATATTTCCGTACTATCACTCCGTTTCCGTATTTGCCACCGGTCTCGTGCAGTCGAGGCTGTAACGAAATTTTTTTTTTTCTTGGTAAGATTTGTCAGTTTTTATCGTGGAAAATAATTACAAAATAAAGTACTTGCTAGGAATCAATTATTGATAATTTAAATTATTATAGCTTTGTAAACTTTACTTTTCATAGTCGTAGGTTCATCTTTTTCTCGGAGATGATTTCACGTTACGCAGCGGGTGGAAAAGTGAGAGTACTTCAAAAGTTATAAAAATTTAAACGCATGTTTAAAAACATTGAAAAATA